TTTCCCTGTTTGTTGGAGTAAAATCCAGCCCCAAACTTTATATTGCTAAGTTGCTAACACTGATATATTGAAGCACGACCACCGATTACCATTATCCCCAAGTTGGAAGGTAAAATTGATGATCCAATCAGTTAGCACTTTGCTTCTCTATGAGGTTGTCGCATCATAGTTGGATGGGCAACCAAAACTATGTGGGGAGGAGCTAGGCTACCATCCGGGCCGCCCGGGACACCCTGTTTTCCCGGGCGGTCCGGCCGTGCAAGGACCAGGGAAGGTCCCAGCCAAAAAAAAAAAAAAAAAAAAAAAAAAAAAAATCAAAAAAAAAATCAAAAAAATCCGAAAAAATAAACTACGTTATGTAGAAAAATAAACTGAACAACTTTTGCCTCAGGGTCATATTGAAATTCCTTACCAAATTCAAAATAAAAATTAGAATTAAAAAATGAGTTTATTATTATTTTTTTTCTTTTTCTTTTTGGCCTGGTCGGCCAAGTGGACCCGGGCCACTCTGGTAGCATAGCTAGGGAGGTAAAACTAGGGGTGGAATCAAATATTAAACCACCAGTACTTCCTAAAGTCGTGCCCATTAACAAGCCACGATTTTAGGAAATGTACAGGTCACTACAGGAGTGCCCAAATTCATCTGACTAGAAACGTTGCTACTCTATTTTTTCCCACTGCCAACAGCTGGGCCAAGTACTGGTGAAATAATCCTAAGGAGAATAATTTGTGAGAATGAGGAAAGGATCGGAACTGAAGACATGCCCTGAAACGACATTCAAGCCCAAGTGGTGAAAAAAAAATACAAGAACATGGAGAAATAAGTGATCATCCCCCCTCAAAGTACAACTGTAGCAGGTGGCCGTACGTAAGGACTTCGACACTTCTTTCTGCACAAGGCCTGCCATTCTTTTTCTTTTTTGCGACCCTATAGCCTGTGCCTTGGCCGAGTAGTTCAGTCCGACAACATAATCTGAGACCGATGACACCACACCGCTGGTTGGATGAGTATCCTATTATTATTTTGGGACACCAAATTTTCCACTATCAGTCATTTGGGCCCTTGGACTTTGGCTGTCGTGGTAATGATTAATAGGTGGTGTCATTTTTGGCAAAATTTTCACCCAAACTGCCATATATGATATTTCCCTGAATTTTTGCTCTTTTCTTGTTTTTTCTTTTTTGTGTGCATGTGTGACGTGTTCAGTTTCAACGTCTTTCTAACAGTAACGAAAAAGTACACAAAAAAAGTTAAAACACTGTATTTGGAGAAAAGTTTGGCAAACTCCAAAAGCCACTACCAATAGGGGTTTATACTAATTTATAGTGCTTTTACTTTATTTTTTATTTTTTTTTTGCCTTTTTATTTGTTGTTGTTGTTGGCATTATGAGCCTGCATTCTTTGTTCACAACATTTTTGATGACACTGCCGGTGGTGATGCGGCGAAAAACACTGAATTTCGGGTCTTCCATTAACCATCTCTTGGCTGTCATATAACCACCTGGTCAGACACACTGTTTTCGATATTGCTCCCCACGAGATGGGATATAGTACCTCAACATTGTAATTTGTCGAGTCTGCCTGAAAGAACAAAATAACTTGGTTAGTGCACACTGCGGTGCTTGTTGTGGCTCTTGTCAGCGGCAGACGTGTAATGTCCGTTGCTGGAAGCATATGCTTCTCCGTGGTTATCACTAGCTTTCTCTTGATTGCATACTTCTTCACTACACAGGTATGAGAATGACTCCATCCCCGCCCTTGATTGTGTCATAGAGCAGAGCGATGTTGACGGTGAATTCGTCCCATCTCTATCTCCATATTGCTTCCGAGTGATCATCGCAATACCTTGGTGGTTTCTATGCTACCAGAGCGCCGTGGGGTCACTGGACTGGACAGGCAAAAAAATAAAAATTAAAAAACATATTTCAAATTTGGTAAACTGTTTCGATGCAACCCTGAGGCAAAAGTTAGTCATTTTTTTATTTTATTTTTAACTACACTATATTCTTCTCTCAAATTATCTTTGCCTTACACTTCAAAGTGGCTTTGTGTACCATTATGCTTTTGTGATGTTCATCGGGTTAACCATATACCTACCACTACTCCTAAAGGCTATACCTCACAACCTCCGATTACCGCTGTTGGGGTGGGAGGCAACATGCAATCGGTTCAGTTCATTTTTTTTTTCTTTTCTTTTCTTTTTATTTCTATATTCTTCTCTCAACTTCTGCTTCTACTCCTAAGACTATCTAGAGGGGACCCCTGCAAGCATAGTTTTCCTCTCTGTGTGAAGGGGAGATTTCATGTTGCCCCTTGCCCCTAATGGTTAGGGTATAGGGTTGGGGCCGCCAGTGGGGGTCTGGCTAACACAAAGACCGAGACCTGCCAGTGGCTGTGCCTCCCTTTCTCATCGTCCCCCACCCTTCATCGAGTAGCAGCAGAGGCTATGGCCAACACTCTCCCACACACCACACACAACCCACTCGCGCGCACACTCACACCCGTGTTGGTCATAGACCCCGCTAATACCGATCAGGGGTATCCAGAGGACTATCACAGTCCGTTGGCACTAAGTGCGCCGCAGGCGCATCACATAGTTCTTTTTCATAATTTCTCTCTGACGACCGCTGTTGGGCGGGGGGCAATACGCAATCCGCTCAGTTCATTTTTGTGCATCGCATAGTTTTTTTTTCAGACTTCCCTTTTTATTGTTGCTGGGCCCTTCCCCGGTCCTTGCACAGCCGGGCCGCGCCCCGTCAACCAAGGTAATCCAGGGGCCCCGGCTTGTAGCCCAAGGTGGTTCGGATCTTTCTCCCCTTCTCCGTCCGACTCTCTTTCAAGCTCGTTCCAGGTCGTTTGGTACTTCAGGAGTCTTCGTCAGTTCTTCATTTGACAGCCTAGCTTGCAACCTCGCTCACAACATAGCTAACAACCTCGCCCACAACCAAGCTCATCACCAAGCTCATAACCGAACTCACGACTCCCAGTCCACTCCACCCGTAACTCGTGTCTCTCACTACTACTCTCAATTCTCTCACTACCGCTCCCTATACCCTAATTACTCTCCCTGTCTTCTCTAGTTACGAGAGAGTTTATCTTCCTCCTCTCTCCCTACCTTCTCTAGTGCATTGCGGTTTTGTCAAACTCCTCGCCGATGCTTTCCCGATACTCCATGACGCCCAGAGGTCATCCCTAACTCGCATTCTTACCAATTACATTGTTTTGTCATATCTCACAAAATACACAAAGTTTAGCAATATTGGGCTCGTTTTTTAGGTATTTTCAAGACATACAAGTCCAAGCTTGTTTAATTTGGTTCAATATTTTGGCCAGTATTCTCCTTTTGGGGCCAATCTAGCCGCAACAGCACGAATGACCTCAGGTTCACTTGCGGGGAGGGAGCCAGTTTTAGGCATGCTCTGGGAGGTGACCTCCCATGCAGACCCAGCAGTGTCACACAAGCATCAGCCTGGCAAAACACAATAGACACTCAGCGCCTCCCAGAACAATTCGCCTCTTCTGCAGGAGAGAGGCTTCTGCAGCAATAGCTCAGTAGGAATCTGGAAGCCAGACCAGGACTACCGTATTCCGCCGAATAGAACGTACGGGCATTACAGCTGGTACATGGCACAACTTCCTGTCTGGATATGGCGATAATTAAAGCCAGACCAGACCGGTCGTCAAAAAAAGAAGAAGATACATTTTTGCACGTTTTTTCACTATCTGTTCAGATGTTCAGTGTTTCGCTGCTACCAGTTAAGGCCCGAAGAATTTCTGCAAAACGGCACCACCGGTCCCCCGATTTCACATGCAGCGGGGGGGGGGGGCGCACTGATGGTGTAATCTAGACTGGTGTGTGCTGCTTGCTCAGGGGCGTGCTACCATCTTCAGCCAAATAGAACGCCTGGCCATTATAGCTGTATTTGGGGAAGCTTCCAGTCCAGATGGAGCCGGAATGACAAGGTGTTCTCTTCGGGTGAAGACGGTAGTCTTTCGTCTATCCAATGCTAACACCTCCCAAAAATCAAACAAAATTTACTCCACAAGTCCATGGCACTCCATGCATTTTTATTTTAATTTCCGCATCGCTAGTGATTAGCTCCTAATGCCATTGATATACGATTCCATAAGGAGTCGCTCATCAACTTCGCCTCCATCCCCCGAAAAAGAAAGGCAGGTGGGATTTGCAAATCCCACCTGTTCAACCGGCAAATGGTAAATGGGTTTTTGAAAGCATAAAACAAGAGGCAGCATTTGGGCCTCTGCTGGAAAGCGCGTCCAGCGTCCCTTATACAGACTCCAATTGGAATACAATAGATCACGATTGTGGGGTCCGCCAGCATTGATAGATGGAGTCCCTTCCCAGGTGCTAGTGGTGTCTGCTCTTATCAGCACCACTTACACCGACGGAGGGTTAAACCACCAGTACCTTTGACGGTTCGAAAATACTCAGCCTCCGACCTTTCAGGAGGCCGAAACGAAACGATGGCCTCCTAAAAGTTCGGTTACTGGCCAGTACCACGTCGAAAATAGGCTCGGCGGGACTGGTGGTTAAAAAAAAAAAAAAAAAACA